TAATACAATTTGTATATAAATTATAATTATAATATAATAAATTTATCAACATAAATAGCAATAAAAATATTCATACAATAAACAATAGTAATATAAAATATATAAATCTACTATAAATATAAATTGAACTCAATTACATTAGTTTTAGCATTATATATGTATATATACATATAATCCTGATAGCAAACGTTGTAGCTACTAGCTAGTTCATATAAAGAATTTCCTTCTACATAGCTTATTAACTATTTCCACTGAAAAAAATGATAGCGGAAATGCTGAATAAATGAATAAAAATTGGTTTTAAATTCGGTTGCCATCGATACAGAAGACATTTGGCCGATCAAAGCCAGCCAGACGTGCGGTAGTCAATGGGCATATGTCAACCCAGATACCCTAACCGCATGCCACGTTGTCCACTTAAGTTTACCATAGACCGGAAAAGTGGCTGTGCTTGCTGTTCTTGTTGTTGTTGTTGGGCTGGCGGATGCTCAAGTTTGTGCGCTGCCCATTAATTCAGCTGGCATACAATTAAATTTGCATTTCATTCAGCATTTTTTTTGCTTCTTTCTTGCCCCATTTTGCTTACACCTGGCCAAAAGTAGCTGTAGTCCACGCAGCAGCAGCCACCTTCATGACTTTTAGCTGATTAACATTTGCGCTCTTCTCTTTTGCTCTTGTGCTCGGGGAAATGCAATTTTCCTGCCAAAGAAAAAAGCAACAGCAGCAAGTGGCAACCTTTATGTAAATTTACACCCACCATATATGGCGGGTACACACAAATACACAACACACACACACACACACATACACACATAGTGTTGGGTATACTTGTGTACGAGCAGCGGAAACTTTGGACCAGCTCTGCCGAAGTGTATATGTGCTAAGAGCACAATAAACATTAATTTTCCTTATTTCTTACACTTTGTTTCAGCTCTTCCTGTTGCCAGCTGTGCATATTTTGGCACTTGTTTAAATAATGGTCGCTACACAAAGAGCTACTTCCCTGATAAGCATAGAAACAAAAGAAAAAATCTAAAATAGTTACAGTCATTTTTTAGTGGGATGCAAAGGTTTCAAATTGACTAACCAGAAAAAAATATACTATATTGAGAATAAAGTTAAAGCGCTGCCTTTTAATGCAGTTATACATGAGGGAATATATGCTGCCTTATTTATATTCTCACATAGCACTCTTTAAAATTCATATAGTGTTGTATCAATAAACGAAACTAGTTTAATTATAATATTTTTGTATCCATTAAACGTATTTAAACTTTAAATTTAAATTAAATTTATTCATATATAATTCAAATTTTTAAATGAAAATCTTGACACTCCCTTAATTAAACGAGAACACTCAAGAGCATATATGTTTAAAATTTCATACAATATCCTTATATATATATATATAGAGAGAGAGAGCGGGAGAGAGACATTACCCTCCAAAGAGTGATGTCTTTTATTAGAATTTCTTGAGTAATAGCATATGTCTATTGCCATGGCTTCCCACGGCATGTAATCTAAACAATCTCAAGTGTGTTTCGCATATACACTCCATTATGTTGACGTCAATGTCCACCCACAACCCACTTGAGAGCGTCAGAGGGTGCTCGTGAATACCATGTGAGATACTGCACACCAATATACTCATTTCAATTTGTGAACATGTATAAAAATAAAGCTCTCAATGAAATTTATTAACTATGACTCAGAGCTTGCAAATAGGAGTGGACCATTTAATTTTGTACGCTCTATACAAGGCTCTGTTCGTGTATTTTCGGTTTCATTTCTTGTTGAGCGACTTGAGTTGAAATATTCACGTTTCGCTCCTTTCACGAATATCATTTATCATCATCTCTCGATTAACACAGTGAGATTAAGACCAAGTGACTTTAAAAGTTAATGCAAGCGGTTCATATTCACATACAATTACACTTACTCAATTCACTTACGGTATCAATGTGTTTTTAGCGAGAATAGCTCTCGTATTTATCCAAATACATACGCAGCAAACTCTTTGCTCCGCCAATCGGCGATTCGGCTGCTCACTGAATGTTTTCTTAGAGTGTTTAGAAAAGACAGTTATTTGCAGACTCTCTCAGTTCTTATTTGTATATGAATCCCTGGGGTCTGCATACCATGAGCAAAGTCTCTCCAATATGGAAATAGTTAGCGAAATAAAATCATTCTTTTTTGCTTCAACTTCTCTTGAACTATTTTAATACTGCATATATTTTATTAGACAATAATCTTTACTAAATAAGTCAGCGAATATTTCTGAGCATCAATTTCCATTTTTTTTTAATCATATTTTAGTCAGCTCTAATTTAAGCATTTCATTTATCACTTAGTGAAGCTCGCTCCCATTGAAGACACATTTTAATCAAATGTAATTCAACTAAAGCTTAATTGATTTATCAATTGCTATGACTTACCGCAACATCTTCACAATGCAACAACCCCAACCTTAACGTTTATCGAATTCAATTCAAAGGAATTCTATTTTCTGAGTGAATATCAAATAACAAGAAATTCATGCTTGGCCTGTAGCAGCGCTGAATGAGTTTGTTGTCGTCATCAACGTCAATTAGTAGAAAAGATTCATTTCGCATTTCGCTCGCTGTATTTATGCATACATAAATCTGTATAAATAAACGACTTAATTTAAGCTATTTGAATATTTAATATACATAGGTATATATTTAGTTAAGTTAAAGTCTGCAGGCTTGGTGATTAACATTAGAATTTAAATTTATCTAATTAATTCATCTAGAATTATCGTCTTCAAAGCATATCGATTCATTTCAGTCATACAAACAGCAATGCATACTCCAATGCATTAGCTATGTAAATACAAATTAATGTGCATAAGCTATTGTACAAAGGCACATGTATAAATCATATACTCTCATTATAAATTATACATATATTTAATAGCACACACATTTATCGGCCAAAGTTTGTATGAGACTCATAGGAATGTGGTGAAAAGTTTTTTGTAATTTAATT